CTTTTTCAGGTCTGCAGTCCACTGGCAGCATCTCAAGTTTTCAGTCTTCCAGCGGTAGAGGGGAGATGCCTGGAGCAGTTTTCGCCAACAGCACTTCTGCAGCAGTCTGTGGAAGACGTGGAAGCACCCCGAACTGCTTGAAACCCTCGAAGTTTATCAATATACCCGAGGCAGGGCCCGCGGCTCGTGGCGGACCCTCTTTGACCGGCTGCGACAAGAGCCGACCTTGCACGGGATGGAAAAAAGCTTCGTTGGAAGGCTGGAGGGCGCTACCAGAGGGCCAAGGGCTTGGGCTTCACGGAGGTTATTCGATATTCCGTGATCTTCTGGTTGTGATCCATTTGGAGCTGCAGTTCCTGTTCAGGTCCTTGGAGTTTTTTGGTGTCGGCTCCGGGGTCCGACACCGCAGCAGCCGGGCAAAGGTCCAAGAGCTGTTGAGGCTCCAGGGGTTCCGTTCCGGTAGGGTCTGGAGCCTTCGTGGAGAAGGGCCATGAACAATTCCGGGCTTCAGAAGCCCCAGGGCTCAGAGCACGAACGTAGTCAAAAACAGGTGTATCTCGAGACTTCGACGCTCGAATCCTCCAAGACCTTGCGGAGAGCCTCAAGAAGCCTGAAAGAACTTGTCTATCAGATTACTGTACCGTCAACACGGAAAGTTGTACGCGGTTGAGGCCTAACAGATCTCGACAAGCAACTGCTACCCTCCAACATTCATCCTTGTCTCTCAGTGTTCTCTCAGAGGCTTTTCCTCAGTTTTGCAGATGTCTTTTGATCGTCGGCTTGCTAGGGGCATCAGGAGCACCGTGACCTTTTGGCTCTTCGCAGGGGACAAACAGCGACCTGGTGGCTGTTTCGGATCGCAGTGTCCCATGCCCATCCATGACTGACATTCGCTGCCATCAAGTTTGAACAGAAGCCATCGTGGCACGTGATGAAGTCACGCTACAGCAAGTATTAGCGTCAGGGGCGGGGCCATTTTTCCTTTCTCCTGGCCTCCCAACCAGAGAGACAAGGCCAGCCATGCAACCGTCGCTGCAACCGGCTCGCTCTCCCATCTGTGGAGCTGTTCTCCAATGCTGCGAGCCGACTTCGAAGTGCTTGGTCTGTCTTCTCTTGGACCCCAAAACCGCTTCTGAACACTGAAAATTCCGGCGGGCCGGTGCGCAGGCCTTGGCCAAAGCTGCCGGGCCTGGGCGAAGCCGAAGGTGCCGGGGGCCTGTTGCTTCGTGGTTAGGTGTGGTTGCCAATTTTTGAGCTTTTTGGGTGGGTTCTCTTCGGCTTGCGTTCATCGAGCAGATGCCACCTTCATGACAGGGTCCACGGCAATATCCCAAACTGTTCCTCTGACGATTCCCGAAGTCTTCGCGAACGGGCGTCGAAGCTCACAGGCTTGTCCAAGCATCCATCTCGCTGCACACCTACGTGGGCCAGGCTCAACCTCGGGATTGGGGGTGGGCTTGGTAGGCTGCTGCGGTGCGCGTACATTGAGGCGTACATAGGGAATCCAAGTGGGATTGTCGGGGGTTTCGGCTGCGGGCTTCATTCTAGGCCCAGCAGTTAGTGTCAAAGCCTTTGGGTGAAAGAGCCTTTGCAGGTTCACCGACGGAGCATCAAGGAACCTAAGCACAGCACCGCCTCCTCAACCTCTATAAATCGACGACATGCGATCCTTTCTTCCCGAAGACGGCCAGGCCGAAGGCCAGGGCTCGGATGGCGACTGAGGCCCGGGGGCCGTTCTGCGGTTGTCTTTTCCATGGGTTTAGGGCTTTTAGGGTTTAGGAATTATAGGGTTCAGGGTTAGGCTTTAGAGTTGTCCTCTTCCGTCGCGGTCATCGTGGCCTTTCTTCGGCTTCCTCTGCGGGCGTTGGGGACGTTTGGGGTTTCTGTTCGGCTTCGGCGTTTCGATGGAATGTGTGGTCTCGTTTTCAGGTTTCGGAGGGCTGAGGTTGAGGATTGACGAAGGCCGGAGTGTGCGGGATGACACGCAGCTGCATGAATGGCTGCCCTTCAGGGTTCGCAGAGCCAACGTACCGTCTGGCGAGAGCGCAGTCTGCCAGACAAGCAGACGATGCTCTCCTGTTTGCGTGAAAATGCAAGAATGTACGCCCAGCACACATCGGGAATCCCTCAACCCGAGGCCGAAACAATAGCTACAGTGGAATGAAGGCAAGGTGGCAAGAGCCTTTTCGAGTTTAAGCTTCTCGCGCGGAGCGACAGTAGGCAAGAGACTAAAGCAATCACCCACTGCAGATCTGCACACATGACGAGTGACAATGCCAACAGAATCAAAGTGCACAGTCCTAAAGGTGGTGTCCAGATATGGGCTTTGGAAGCATAGGCTCGGACTCCACAAGCCGATGCTCGCGCATCACAGCACCGCCTTATCCCACTGAGGAGCTGCTTTCAGCCAGCATTCCTAACATGCCTGCTCGCCAGGTTCGGGAGGAGCTGGAAAGAGTGTCTGCAGAGACATTCTGCGACATCGTCGACAGCCTTCGAGGCTGGCACACGAGCATGGGCGCCTTGCAAAGTACGGCGGCTGCTGGAAGCAAGGCAATGGTATCACAGAGGAGGAACTTCAGGCCGGGGCAGATTGGCACAGCAATCGGTCTTCTGTTTGAGTCTGTGTTTTCGCCTGAAAAGCTGTAACACAGAGCCCAGGGCCTTGTGCAAGAAGTTCCCACCGATGGCAGGGCACTCAGCGAGCTCTTGCCAACAAGGATTATATTGAGTGCTTTAGAGACTTCACGGAGACACCGAGAAACAGGGCCCCGAAAGCTCCAAGCCTCGAAAGAAGCACCCGCAAATTCCAAGAGAATTTGTTGACACTGAGCTCCTCTTGCGAGTCGAAAAGCAGCAGCGAGGCGAAGGCCTGCTGAGCTGCCGGCAGCTCCTCCTCCGCCTCCGGAGTCGGGACGCTCGCGATCGTGGGCATGCGGCGGGCACGGGCCTGCTGAGCCGGGCCTTCGGGCGCTGCTGCCCGGGTCGCCCCAGCGAGCCTGGAGAGGCCGCCGGCTGGGCAAATGCGGAGGTCAAAAGCGAAGAAGGATGCCCAGCACCTTTGAGAATTTCGCCATGAATTTTCCAGTGTTGCAGGGCTTACTGTCACTTTCTCCATGCCAAAACACCAACCTGAAGGAATTGTACGGTCTCGGAATCGCTTTACACTGGTTGCGTTCCATGGAGTGCAGACAGTAGGCCGCGAAAACTCACCGAGGGGTCTACAGGTTTCCAGATCATAGACGGAGATATCGAATTGGGCCTCTGTCTAATACCTCGGAGGTATTCGGAGGTAGTGCAGAAGATCTCCCAGATGAGCTAGATAGATGCAACAGGTGCTGGATCGAAGGAGAAGTATACAAGTCAGTGATAGGCTTTTCCTTGTGTGCCGTGCAAGACGTAGGTTCGTCGATTCAAACAAAGTACGGTTCGTCATTTCAGAAGCAAGGATCGACGATTGACAGGGGGTCCGACCGCCAAGACATGAGGTTCGTCTCTGAAGCTAGTGGTCCAAACCCATGAAGCCCCGTTGTCTTAGCAGTTTGGGATCTAGGTACTGTTGCCAATTGTACCGGGCTTGAGCGCTGTAGGGCTGCGTGTTTGGATCCCCGTGTTTCGAAGTCATTCGAGCTTTGGAGCTTTGAGGCGAGGATTTGTGTGACGGACAGACTTACTGCAAATAATGGCACTATGTGAAGGTATACTATGGTAAATTCAATATATAGCGGTGTATTAAATTATACTAGAGTATATTCCAGTATGTCGAGAGGCTAGCTTAGCTTTGCTTCAGCCCAGGGTTAAGATTCCCTTTCCGCCCAAGACGACGTCAGTCTCTTCAGCTTTGCCGGTGGTCTTCTGGTACACGAGCCACATTCCCTCAGTGGGCATGGTAATCGAACACCGAAGCTGCAGGTTCAGATGGAGGAGACAGCGGCGGAGACCAGCAAGCTTCGGCTGGACGCTCATAAACGGCAAATGAGGCGAGGATTTCGTTTCGGCATGTTGGACAATTTTGCTCGATGCTCTGCTGAGGAGAGGCTCATGCGACCACTCGGATCCAGGCACCTCCAAAGCAGGGCAGGCGCTCCGCACCCCCACCATCTCTTGCAAAAAGAGGGCATCGGGGTTCGGCAGTGCAGGGGAAGGAGTACGACTTGGCTGATAAGAGCAAGCTGGCAGACTTCCTCGAAGATGCGGACATCCAGCTGGTGCCACGGGCTCGAGGGCGGGTGACGCCAACACCAAACCTTGCAATTATTCTGGCATCATCTTCAGGCAGTTCAGGCAGAGCGGTGTCGGCTCGGTCTGTAGCTCTGTCTAGGTGACAGTTCGCGCAGGGATTTTGGCTTATGACCTCGAAGGGAGTAGCTGATTTTGCTCTTCTTCCACCCTGCTGAACCATCCGCCTTTGTTGCTTTTTGCAATCGGTTTGTTGTCTGGTGAAATGCAGACTCGGGGTCGATTGTTGGAGCGTCTGTTTGTTCGGAATGCAATGCGGGGTTTCATGAAGCGAGCGAACCGGAGAACAAGAAAGCGATCAAGAACTGTTTCTTGCCCGCTTCTTCTCTGCCAGGGTGGCCCGGGCAAGAGGAGGATCTCCAAGGACGCTCTCCGCGTCATCGTTAGGAACCTTAAAGGCCAGAGCTTTCAGCTGCAAGTAGGGTTTCAACTTCCTTCAGAAGTCAGAAATGATCTGTCATTATTGCGGCAAGCTCATAAGGCAGCACATAGTTTCTCTTTCAGCAATACCTTTGACTATGAAGTTGGCCGAAAATAAGGCAAAGGACTTAGCTGGGTGGCATGTGGCGAGTCCAAGCCTTTCTTACAAGAGACTTCTCGGAGTCAATAAGCGACGCATAGACTGGCTAGGACTCTCCAACTGTTGCATGGCCAGTGCAGTACTGCGAAGCAGCCTTACAATACATGCCGTCGAGCCTTGCAGCCTCAGGATCTTGCTGGGATTTACGATGTCACGCGTGTATTCTCCCAGAGCGCTTCAGGCGATCGTTTCACCGTGGACATGCTCCAGGCAGGGGCTGCACGCCTAGCTTGTTGCTTGTGCTCCGAACGACTCGGCCAGGATATCTTGCAAGACGTCCCCGATCGTTGGGAGCTTAGGAATAAAAGCACCATCAGCGTCAGAAACGCTGTGTGCCGTGTGCTTTCGGAAAGATGGTTCGTGGTGGATGCGGAGGCGAGGGGCTGCTGAGCTGCGAGGACTTGGCGCGCCGCCTCCGCCGCCCGGATCCAGCTCCGGAGCCGCAAGAGGCTGGAGCGCGGTGATGCGTGGTGTGTGTGTGTGTGTGCAACTTCGTCCAATGCGATGTCCCGCAACGTCTGCGCCAGTCCAAGCGCTACGACCTGGCTCAGAAGCAGGGGCTTGCGGACTTCCTGAAAGATGCGGACATNNCATCCGATCTTGCCTGTTGTGCGTGTGACGGATCATACCTCGGACAGCTTTGCTGTGTGAAGCAATGAAGCGTCCTGCCCAGGTGCGAGCCGACTTCATTCTGAAGCTGCACCGGGAAGGACAGCGTCTCCCGCGGCGCCAGGAAGCGGAGTCCGCCTACGTGGACTGCCGCACGGCACTTGTGACACACGAGGAGGCGCGATATGCCTTTTGCACTAATCTCCCTGGTCAAAGATGCGCCGGCCTGAAGTCTCCCTCTGCTTTTGTCATCTTTCCGAGGTGCAAGTCTGGGCCGACGGCAAGGCGCCTGACGGCACCCAGATCGTTTCGCTGTCCCACTGCTGGGAGTCGAGGGAGCACTGTGACCCCTACGGCTACCAGCTTTCCAAGCTAGCCGAGGCTCTTAGGGGAGAGGAGTGGCTTTTCATAGATTACGTG